AACAATAATTAGATCAATTCCAGGTATATTAAAAGGTAAATATGAAAAGCAAAACTGCTACAGGTTTTGATGATAATATAAGAAAATATCCTAATCTCTAGGCAGAGAAAGGCTTCTTAAGTTGGTCCATAAATGGCACAAACCATAAAAGAAAAGATTAAAAATTTGACTTCGTTGAATTAGCAATTTCTTTCCAGCAAAAGACACCATAAAGAGAGTGGAAAGAAAACTCACAAAGCGGAGAAGAAATCTGCAACGTGTATAAGTAGTGTACGATTTTTTGATATGATAATATTCTAATTTTTTAAAAAAATTTTTATAGGGCCGGGTAAACTGGCTTATGCCTATAATCCTAGCACTTTGGGACCACACTGAACTTAAGATCAAGACCCCATCTCTAAAAAGTAGCTTCGCATTGTGCCTGTAACCTCAGCTACTTGAGAGGCTGAGGTAAGAGGATCTCTTGAGCCCAAGAGTTTGAGGTTGTCGTGAGCTATGAGACCACAGCACTCTACCAAGAGCGACAAAGTGGGACTCTGTCTCAAAAAAAAATTGCAGTTTTGAGTGTACAAATGTAGTTTTGTTACATACAGTGCATAGATTAAAGTCTGGGCTTTTAGTATAACCATCACTTGACTAGTGTTCACTGTAGCCATTAAGTAATTTTTTATCCTCTCACCCTTCAGAGTCTGTCTATAATTACACATAGCTGTGAGCAATGACACCACGACACTCTGCAGCAAGTGAAAAGGTGAGACTCTGAGGCAGCCCCTGTGGCTCAGTGAGTAGGGCGCCAGCCCCATATACTGAGGGTGGTGGGTTCAAACCCACCCCCGGCCAAACTGCAACAAAAAATAGCCAGGCATTGTAGCAGGCACCTGTAGTCTCAGCTACTCGGGAGGCTGAGGCAAGAGAAACACCTAGGCCCAAGGAGTTGGAGGTTGCTGTGAGCTATGAGAGCACAGTACTCTATGAGGGTTAATAAGTAAAACTCTGTCTCAAAAAAAAAA